CGGACATAGGCACTTTGATAATGTGTGGAATGTGAGATAAAACCAGTCATCTATAAAGAGTAGGGAGGGTCTACTTTGTGCCGGTTATTCTCCTTTTAACTCCTAGACGTCATCCTTCTCTGTCTCATCTTGTGCCCTGAAGGATGACTCCTGCAGACTGTATCACCCAGTCTCTCTTGCAGGCTGATTTCCACCCAACAGGAGACACAAAGCAAGGAGGAAAGAGAGGCTGGGATATTTCACCTCCTCCTTTCCCCTGTTTCTGTAATGTCTCTGTTGGTAGCTGTGTCCCTCTGCAATAGTGTCCCCCTGCAGTCTAGCTTTCCCTGAATAGCCCCTTCTTCATATGGTTCCAGCTCCCACTGGGCTTCAGCAACACAATTTGCTACTCTTATCTTTGCAACTCTAGCAATCCCATCATTGCTAGCTTCTGGGCCTCATTATCTCTCATTTTTTTCCTTAACCTTGCCCATACCACATAGAAGGAGTCCTTTCTTAAGGTCTCTTCATGAAACTCATCTGGAGCATAGGCTGTTACCTGCCAGGACCCTGACTGAGAGTTCTTGAACATGGAGGGATGCTGGCAGGGAAGGGAGCCAGGGTTAAAAAAAAAAAAAAAGACTTGGTCTACTTGATACATGTGCCTAATGCTGGCCCTCAGTAGGAGCTTCTAGACATGGAAATGCAGGGAGCATTTAGGGGCACAACTCCAGGAAGTGTCAAGATAACTCCAATGATCACTTCCAGTGTGTTGTTTTCATTGACTCCATAGCCTGCAGTAAGTAGACTGCTCCTTCCTGTGTACTCACTCCCATAGCTCCCATTCACAGTTTTTTTAATTTCCTAATTACAAAGACCTTTCCTTCAAGGCTCTCTTTAAAGCCAAGGAGAATTCTCTTCATTTTTTTCTTCATTTCCCCGGCACTACCTAGTGACCAATAGGCACTTAATGCCTCCTGAGTGAATTTATGTTCAAAGGTAATGTCCCTAAGAAATTGAAGTTATCTGACTGTGAGCCATAGAGAACTTGGGCAGCAATAATGACTGCACATTTGCAACTCTGGTTTACTATAGTAGTTGCAGAATTTCTATGGGAAAAAATGATGTTTCATGCTTTATAGCTCATCTTGTTGTTCCCTTCAGCCCGTGTGCAACTGTGACCTGGTGATGTGGGTGGGTGCATAGGGCATGCACAGAATCTCTCTTGCATAGCCATATGTGGTTTGTGTTTCATATTGAAATAACCAAGGTCAGTCTCTTGATATTATTTATAATTCTATGGATGTATCAACCTGCTATATCAATTTGCCTCATGAATGATGGCGTCCTTCAAAGATAAAGACTGATGCCTGACCGGTGTGGCTCAGTGGTTGAGCATCGACCCATGCACCAAGAGGTCGCTGGTTCGATTCCTGGTCAGGGCACAAATCCCCAGTGGGGGGCATGCAGGGGATGGCCAATTGATGTTCTCTTTCATTGATGTTTCTCTCTCTCCTTCTTCCTTCCTCTCTCTCTAAAATCAATAAAGAAAAAAATTAAAAAAAAAAAAAAAAAGACTAATGCTGGATAAGACCCCTAAATTGACAACCAAGCTAGTGTACAAAACACAACCTTACAGATTATCTGTTTAGATATGACCTTGAGTTCAAAGAGTTAACATGAGAAAATATGGGCATTTGCTATAGACTTTATAAGCCTTCAGTCTGTTTCCATGGAGCTGTTGCCAAGGTACATGCAGTAGAAATTTCTCCAAGACAACGTTTTACTCCCCTAAGGCCCTCTTCTTCTTCGTTGACATGGAATCTATCTAAATACGAGAAATTCAAGTAATTTGTAGATTTTTTTTTTTCTGATTAGTTGAAATATCTATTTTCACTAAAATCCATTGACCTCAACCACCCTCTTACTCCAGAGGAGTTCCAAGAACTGGAGGAAGGGGGCCTAGGTTAAAGATCAAGCATGTGGCTCTTTAAACACTTGCTTTATGAAACTCAAATTGAGACAGATGACAAAGGACATTTTTTTCTGACACCCAAATTTATATTTATTATCAAAACCCTTTCAAGAATACAACGTATCAAATCACATTTTGTTATGACTTCAATGAATCATTTAAACAGAATGAAATTCACAAAACTGGAATTCTTCTGGGAAATATGAAACATATGGTCATCATTGTATAGAGAGAGTACTGAGAAAAGTAAAACAAAAAACACCTGAGCTCATTCATTTATTTCTTCTCTGATGTCCTTTGTGGTCCTACAGTGGTGTCCTTGCTGCTCCTCAAACACAACCTCCTCGAGGACTTGGGCTTACTGTCCTGCCCGGAAGGTTCTCCCATGGCTCACTTCCGCACTGCATTCACATCTGTGCTCAGATGCCGCCTTCTCAGAAAGGACTTTCCTGGTCCTTCTAGCTAAGAGATCAGCCCTCGTCACACTCTATCTCTTTCTCTGCTTTATTTTTCATCACTGCCTTCTAGAAATTAGCCCATCGGGTTGGGACTTTGCTGTGTCCATTGCTGCATCCCTAGCACTAGGGCTGTGCCTACTGGAAATTCAGAAAAGAATAAAACTTATACAAAAGGAGACATGGGTAACCTCCAAAAGGGTAGCCTCAAAAGAGGAGCTAAAAAGTCAGCCTGTCACATTCAGCACTTTGGGGCCCTCAGTAAGTTCCTGTAGTTAGATGAATTCTTGCTGCCCCATAGAACCATCCACAGCACTGCATGCTTGGTTTGAGAAGTGTCCAAGGGTCCTCTTAACTAAAAATATCACCATCTACTTCTCCCCCTCATTCCCGAGATGCCTGAAATTCCAAAGAGTAGTTCCCAGAAATTATAATCATTTTGACTGTATTAAGGCATAAGGCTGCTTGGGAGGGCCAACAAATAATAGGGACTTTGTTGACCTGGTTATCCAATCAGGGCCCACAGCCAGTTGTAGGAAGGTCAAGCCTGAGCCTCCAGGGACTGGGAAATAAATCAGTGACAGTGAGTCATCCTTGACACAAGGGGGCGGGAGAGAGCAATGGTGATGGAGTGGGGAGCCTGAAGCAGTCTGGGCTGGGGAAGTGCCCCTGCCTTAGGACAATTTGGGTGTCTAAGGCAGAGGGGCTTCCAGTTTGAGCGCTCAGAGAGTGAATCCTGGCTCCTGCACGTATGGATTCTAAGGATGATCTTGGGCTGTTTTCTTCCTCTCTCTGAACCTACTGAAATTGGAATTTTAAAACCTATCTCAAAGGGTTGCTGTGGCCCTGGCCGGTTTGGCTCAGCGGTTGGAGCGTCGGTACAGAGAGACCCGGGTTCGGTTCCCGCTAAGGGCATGTACCTCGGTTGCAGTTTGTCCCCGGCCCTGATCGGTAGTGCGGGTGGCAGCCACTCGATGTGTTCCTTTCACGTCGATGTTTCTCTCTCTCTCTGTCTGTTCCTCTCTCTCCCTCCCGCTCGGGTGAGGATAAAAAAAAAAAAAGGGGAAAAGGGTTGCTGTGAAGAGTAAAGGAAACTCATGTTTATCAAAGGCTTAGCCTAGTATCTAACACATGGAATGTACTCAATACATAACTGCAGTTGTCACGGTTATGATTCAGATGCTGTGGCCCTCGGCCCTCCGTAGCTCATTGAGGGCCCAACTTCATAGAAGGATTGTCACCTCCTCCTTGGAGCATTTCAGGATTGCTTCACAGGAGAGCAGGCTCTCTCTGAGCACAGTCAGTACCTTGTTCGTGGCATGTACGGCTTGCTGCCACGTGTCACCGCACTGTATCAATTTATGTTACATGCTTTAGTCCTCCTATAGTACTGTGAGTTTCTGGGGGAAGAACTGCTGTCTGATTCGTTTTTCTCTTCCTGACATTGCCTCACAATTCCTTGCACATGGTACATACTCAATAAAGATTGCCCCCGTGGATGAATACCTGAAAACACTATCAATTATTTTTTAACCAGACATTTTCACAGCCTTTTGTAAAAATGGCCTAACCAGTTAATCTATAGGTTAAAGGAACATAATTTAAGATCCTAAGCAACACTATGTCTGGTCAAGAGCCCTTTGGCTGTGTTGCCTGGGCTTTCCAGCAGCGTCTGTCAGAGGCTATCGGGACCTGCAGCAAATGCCCTTGGAGAAGAAGCAGCTTGACTGGCCCGAACAGAAGGCCACATTCTACATTGTAACTTTCAGCTCAATAAGTGAGTTGATGCTGATAGTTCACCAAAAGGAAGAGAGAAACCTAATTTCAAATTATTGGAGCAAGAAGAAAGAATCAGAAGATTCTTAGGTTGAGTCATATGAAATTGTCATTTTAGTAGATCAAAAATGATCAAATGTAGGTCTTTTCAAATGATTCAGCCTTCTTAGTTCTACTAGAAATCTGATCGTCTGGATAATATATCCATAGGATACAGATGATCACAAGGTCTAATGTACTGTGAGAGAAAAGACTTCCCCGATCTCTTCTGTTCTGAGTCACTGATTTAACATCTGTCCACCAACCACCCATCACAGCCGAGGTCACATTTTGGAAGCCCAGCTGAGGAGTAAGCATGACTTGTACCTGTGGACACGCCAGATGGGTAGCTGGGCCCTCGGCAAAGGAAAGGGAGGGCGGCGATGTCCTGGAGCGGGGCCAGGCCGAGCTGCACGAGGGGTGGACAGGCAGATGACCGACAGATGGAGGCCAGCCTCTAGGGGCAGAGCAGGCTGGCAGGTGGCGGGCTGCTGCGAAACCAGGAACTAGACCTGGTTTCGAGATGAGGGTGGAGAAAAGGACAGTACACTGGACTTGGACAGCATTGTCAACAGACCATATTTCTCCTATTTCCTCTTGTAAATTCTGGATAATAGAGTTTTAGGAAATAATATTTTTTATACGAAAGAGAAATGACAAAAATTGTAAATACTGTGTGTGGTGATGATGTCAGTGATACTCAGAAAAAATTCTCCCATTGAACAGTAATGCCCCAAGATGACAAAACCTTTTTCTTTGTACTTGTTGGCATTTACTAGGCATGCAGACCCAGATGTCATAAATGGAACCCCAGATTCCAAGGGAAGTTCTATACTAATGCAACTTAGCTCAGTAACACATTCTCTTTTCAAATTCCTGCTTCCTTCTCCTCTCCCATTCTGTGCCTGGAATTTGATTTCTGTGTTGTTGTTGTTTTCCTATGAATAACTGTGGAAGCAATTCCTACCTCTTTCTTTCCCCCTTACTGCCTCAGCTCCAGCCACAGCCTTCTTGCTCTTCTCTGAACATGCCGGGCAGGTCCTTCCCTCAGGACCTTTGCACAGCGCCCCCTGCCTGGACTGCTGTGCCCAGGTATCTGCCTAGCTCTTCATTCCCTACAGAAGTCACCTTGAGGAGGCCTCCCCTAACCACTGTGGTTTAAAATTGTATTGCTTAGTCCTCTTTGCAGCTTTTCCCCTCCATTATACTTACTTTTTTTAATTAAAAGATTTTTTTATTCCTTTATTGATTTTAGAGAGAGAGGAAGGGAGAAGGAGAGAGAGATAGAAACATCGATGAGAGAGAACATCAATTGGCCGCTTCCTGCATGCCCCCCACTGAAGATTTGGCCCACAACCTGGGCATGTGCCCTGACCAGGAATCGAACCAGTGACCTCTTGGCGCATGGGTTGATGCTCAACCACTGAACCACACCGGCTGGACTCCATTATACTTATTAAAAGACATTTTATATTTCATTTATTTTTGTATTGTCTGCTCCCTTCCCCCACATTAGAGTGTAGGCTCCATAAGGGCAGACATTGTATCTGTTTTGTGTGTGGTGTGCTCAGGGCCTAGCACAGAACCTGGCACAGAGGGGCCCTCACGTTTGCTGAATACACAGACGGATACAATTAGTGTGAGCACGAATGTTCACGACCTGTTCTTCCTTTTGCCTCCACCTTTAAACAGTTGCGTTATCTGCAGAGCCACAAAACCTTTCCAGATGTGGAGGAATAGAACTGTTTCAAAGCCAGTGACAGATTCGAGCACACCCACCTTTTGCAGACTCCATGTAAATTAGATTTCACTCTGCTCCCCATTCACCAGCCTGCGCTTTATAAAAGTACTTTTTAAAGTGTAAGTTCCAGGTTAAAAGAGATTCACGTCCATTTCTGTATATTTCCTTATTTCAAAACAGAAATAAAATGTTTTGTCACTGATCTAAGTCACAAATACTTAGGAAGTTCCTGCCACATGCCAAGGAAGAGAGCTAAGTGCCAGTGCTTAAGTGTTTTAGGACCGAACGCAGTGGGTAGGAGGTAAGCAGGATGATAGGAGAGAAGGCAGAACGTGGGGATATTGGTTTGGGGATAGAACTTGTACTTCTGCTTCCATCCCTGGCTCATGTCATAAGAACCAGCATCTTTGTGATGAGATGCCCAACCTCAGAGACTTCCACTGTGTTGCCTCCTACTCTGCCCCGCCCCCACAAGAAGGGAAAGGGGGGAGGTAAAGGGTCAAAGCAATGCAGAGGGCCCTTGGGGGCCCTTGTGCTCTGCCCAAGCCTGGAGAAGAACAGCCTCCATCTTACTCAGAGCTGCAGCTGACATACAGGACACCTCCTCTAGGGAGGTGCTCAGGGGACTGGGGGTCCACTCGGAACCCTAACTAGCTGCCCCGCCCCAGCTAGAGGGGCAAGGAGAAAGGGGAGAAAAGTTATGCTCTTACAGACTGGTACAGTCAGCGCCTCCAGCAGGGTAGGTCAGCCCCTGGGAATCCTGTCTCCCTAGTGGTTAAGGTTAGGGTACCCTGGACTCCGGGTGGTCGGTTCCAACAGATAGTCTGCACGTTATTGATTCTTTCAGAAGTAGTTTCAGAGAAAAGAAAAATAGAGGCAGACTGCATGCACAAAGCTGACCCAACCATTTTGTGAGCTGATTGTTAACATTTTGTTTTTCTTAAATATATATTTATAAATTAAGAGGAAGGCATGAGCATCATTAGGTGGTAGTCAGCCTGGGGAACGGGAGCCTGACACCCACCCAAGGTGCCCTGCACTGACAAGGGCCACAGCACAAGATCCGAGTGCCAGGGAGGAGTGGGCGCAGCTGAGCGTGGAGCGCTGTGCGGGGATTGAGGGGACCGCAGCTTATGCGTCTGGATGGCCTGTGACTCTAAATAGCTTCCTTTCTGCCTCCCTCCCAGGGACTCATTCTCTGAGATATTTCCGCCTGGGCGTTTCAGATCCCAGCTATGGGATCCCTGAATTCATTTCAGTGGGGTATGTGGACTCCCATCCCATCACCACATACGACAGCGGCTCGCGGCGGAAGGAGCCGCGCGCGCCGTGGATGGCGGAGCACCTGGAGCCGGATCACTGGGAGCGGTACACGCAGCTGCTGCGGGGCTGGCAGCAGGCCTTCCGGGTGGAGCTGGAGCGGCTGCAGCGGCACTACAATCACTCAGGTGAGTGCAGCCGATTGCGTCCCCTCCCTGGTCCCCACCCTGGCCCAGAGGTCCCTGGGCGGACAGCGTGTGTGAGCTTCTGCCAAGTTGCCCTCTCGGCGACTTTTGGCAAAGCCTGGACAATTTGGTTGATGGGGTTCAGTGCCTGCCATCTGCCCTGTGCATCTTCCCAGTTGGCTGTCACCCTCAGGAGCCCTTTGTCCTTTGCTCCCCATATCCCTATCCCAATATCACTCAGGCTTGCCACCTGTACCGTCTCCTTTCCATCTAGATGCGGCCATTCCGTGTCATTTTCTGGTGGCCAGGCTTCGTGAGTTGTTCACTTATGCATCGTGACTTATGACATTAACTTTTCCAGGGATATTTCTGGCTCTTGCATATTCTCCCTCCTCCACTGCACTATAAAATGGATCAATCAATCATTCCCATTATAGGAGTTACCCTATAATTCCCCAAGGCAGGAATAATCATGTTCCTTCGGCACACAGTAGGTACGCCGCAAATATCTGTTGATCGATGAGATTATGTCACAGGAACCTCCTGGTGACAGTCATGCCATGGTGGACCTGTAGGGTGCTGTCCTGGGGTGGAGGGTGCTCCTAGCCACGCCCCCGGTCACATCACCTGGGCGCCCACCTCCATGCCACTGTGCAAACCCCTCTCTGGCCGGTGTGTTCCAGGGTTTCACACGTACCAGAGGATGATTGGCTGTGAGTTGCTGGAGGATGGAAGCACCACGGGGTTCCTGCAGTATGCATACGACGGAGAGGATTTCATTATCTTCGATAAGGACACGCTGTCCTGGACAGCTATAGGTAGTGTGGCTCACATCATCAAGAGGGCATGGGAGGCCAACCTGCATGAGCTGCAGTACCAGAAGAACTGGCTGGAAGAAGAATGTATTGCCTGGTTGAAGAGATTCCTGGAGTATGGGAAAGATACCCTGCAAAGAACAGGTAAAAGGAAAGGAGAACACCTTGCCCCGCACCCCCAGGACACTTGGTTTTATACATAATTTCCTCTACTCCAGGTTATATTCACCCCCTATTCTGAAATCCATCTTGTTAGTCAGACCATCATGATGACTTCCTGTGAACACTGACTGTCCCTAGTTACTTTCTTACCAGCATCTTGATGAGATTCAGCAATTCCCCTCGAGAAAGTGGAGTACCTCCGGGGACACCTCCTTTGGTGGAGATCCAGTGACACCGGTTCTTCCGTCTTGTCAATGATAAGTCGGAAATACTTTGGGCAGGGGGGCAGTTCTTACAAGTCGTGTGGTAACTAAGGGTCCCCCGACACCAGTATGAGTGACAATCTGGACTTACAAAGAAGACAGACAGAGGGTCTTTGCTTTTCTAAAGGATTTATGATAAGATTTCTTTCAGTGAAAAACTCCTTTTACACATTAACAATTGGATTTAGTTGGTCAACTTTTAGTTACTATGGAACTTTTCACTTATAATTGTGTTGAAAGTGAATTATGTCTATGATGCTACAGGAAACTGCTGGGCACAGTGTGCCTTTACTACGGGGGTGGTCCTTAGTGGGGCGTTTCCGGAGCCGTGGTGGGCCCTCAGGAGGCACCTGGGCCCCAGCTCTGAATATGGACCATCTTCCCAGGAGCCTCTGCTCTGGAGGCGATAACTGGGGTTCAAGCTTCAACTCTCCCGCTCATAGCTGAATAGCTGTCTCAATGTCACGGCTGTGGTTGACAGAGCCCCACTGTGACTGGCCTGAGCACAGAGTGGAAGGCCATTGGACAGGCAGGAATCAGGGCAGTGTGGGGACCTGAGGACTTGAAACCAAGCTTTGAATGGTTTTCTCCGAGAGGAGGATGTGCAGCCAACACAAAGCTCGTCCTCACAGTGTCGCCATTCTGGGAGGATGGGCTTCTTTCTCCTGGCTCTAGTTGCAAACATTTTGTTTTTTATCCTCACCCAAGAACATTCTTCCATTTTTTGTTCAGATAGAGCAGGAGGGAGAAAGAGGAAGAGAGAGAGAGAGAGAAACATCGACGTGAAAGGGACACATCGAATGGCTGCCACCCGCACGACCAACCAGGGCCAGGGACAAACTGCAACCGAGGTACGTGCCCTTAGCGGGAACCGAACCCGGGTCTCTCTGTACCAATGCTCCAACTGCTGAGCCAAACCGGCCAAGGCTGCAAACTTTTTTTTTTTTTTATCCTCACCCGAGGACATTTTTCCATTTTTTTTGTTCAGATAGAGTGATAGGGAGAGAGAGGAAGAGAGAGAGAGAGAAAAACATCAATGTGAAAGGGACACATCAAGTGGCTGCCACCCGCACGACCAACCAGGACCAGGGACAAACTGCAACTGAGGTACGTGCCCTTAGTGGGAACCGAACCTGGGTCTCTCTGTACCGACGCTCCAACCGCTGAACCAAACCGGCCAGGGCTGCAAACATTTTTAATCACAGGAGGACTCTGGTTGGCCTCAGTGGGGTCACGTGCCCCCCCCCCCCTTGCTCTAATCACTGTGCCCATCAGATAAGTTTCTAAGACTGACTGTGGGTGACAGAGTCAACAAGAACTAAATGGCACATCCAAGATGTTTAACTGAGTGGAAGTCAAGAAAGAGATTATTTACAGAGGAACAGTCAGGGCTGGGGACACTGGGAAGGGATAGTGAAATACCCCGAGACTTGCAGCAGAGGGAAGCCATTACACCCCTTAGATCTGAAGGCGAAAGAGGAGGGGCTGTCATTACCAGAGCCCAGCAAGGGCTGGTACCCTGGGAGAACCTTCTAGCAAGAGCTGTGGCTGTGGAGGACCACGGTCACTGGCAGACTGCAGTGGCTGGGCACCTGTGGACAAGCCTTTCTCTCCTCTAGTTCTCCGATCTTGCGAAGGGTAGTCCTCCCAGAGGCCCGACCCAACAGGGAGCTGGGGGCGCGGGAACCCTGGAGCCCAGCCTGATGAGCACTGTCCCCTGGGGCAGAGCAGGGCACAGAAGGTCTGCGATTAGAGCTGGGAGCCAGCGAAGAGAGAATAAGCAGGGCACACCGTTCGGGTTATGTTTGGGTGGCAGGGTTGAGATTGGTACCTCTGAAAAGAATCATGAGCTAGGGTGCCATGGACTACTTTTCCAATACAAGTAGTGTGTTCAGGAGAAGGGCTTCTTGTTATCAGAAAAACGGGGCTAATAGATGCTAAGCCAGCAAAGCAACAACCCTGAGTAAAATTAGTAGGTGCAACGTGCCCGCCTCACAGAGATCGCTGTGAAATAATGTGTATGAAACTCTGTACACTGCGGGTCTGTTTACGCGTTAAATGTTACTGTGGCCAGACTGAGGAATGTCTGACAGCTCAGGCTCTGGCTGAAGTCGAAGGCCAGCCAGGGGTTATGGGAGACCCTGAACCATGAGGCACTTTAGGCCGAGACCAGCCAGATCTGAAGAGGGGCCACGGGAGCCCCCACCCCCCTGCCTTGATTAGCAGCGGAGCCTTGGGTAGCAGAGAACACCCAGCTGCTCAGCCTGCTGATCTCGGTGCGCCAGCGCTAGGAGCCGGCCGACAGAGTTTAACTGGGATTTGAAGGCTAATACCCGTTGGAAAAACGGGGGTGGGGGGAGCTTGGGCACCTGGTTTGTGTGAGAAGAATGTGGGAAGTCTAACTTCAGTGTACCTACGCCCCCTCTAAGCCTCCTCGCTCTCTACTGTGGGTGTCCTAATGGGGTCTCAACCCTTTGGTCAGAACCCACTCCTAGAAAAGGATCTGTGATCATTTCTTAGGTACTGTCAACAAGCAGAGTCTCTCTTGGTGGTGTTTAGGTTACCTTGTTAATGTTGGAAAGCCCCATCGTTTCTCCTACAGGAAACAGAAGAGGAAGGTATTGTGGAGGCGAAGGCTCCTCCCTGTATCCGGGTGGCAGGTAGCGCGGTGGGGTGAGGAAGTGAGTAGAGATGAGCAGGAAGCAGCCCCTCCGGGGATGGCGTTGGGCTCTGTGTGGCTCAGGTCTTGGTGTGACTCAGTGTCAGCAGGAAACGCTAAGGACAGCACCATATGGAAAATGAGCAGCATGGTCAAGAGGAAGCAAGACCACAAGTGGACAGTTCTTTGTCATCTCTCCATGATATGAATTTCCATAGCCCCTCTGAGGGCATAACCATGACGTGATCTGTTGCATGTTTGTGTTGCATGGTTGTGTCTTAGTCCATTTGGGCTGCTATAACAAAACAGCACAGACTGGGTCACTTCCAAACAACAGACATTTATTTCCCACAGTTCTGGAGGCTGGAAGTTCAGGATCAGGGTGCCCACAGGGTCAGATGAGACCCTGTCCCAGGTTTCAGACTGCTGACTTCTTGCTATGTCCTCATATGGTGGAAGGGGACGAGGGATTAGAGCTGGGAGCCTCTTTCATAAAAAAGTAATCCCATTTTTAGCGTCCTACCCTCATGACTTAAGCACCTCCCAAAAGCCCCACTTCCTAATAGCATCATCTTTGGGGGTTAGGATTTCAACATATGAATTTGGGGGAGGGACACTAACATACAGACCACAGCAATCGCCAAGGTATCAGCTGAGTACGAAGGCAGTTCAGAGCCGAAGCTGAGCTGAGCTGACTGTGATATCTTTGACTAGTACAGGACTGAGAAAAAGGAGCACGGAGTTCTAATCTCCAGACTCGCTGAACTACTTGTCATGCACGGTCACATGCAAACCGTGCAGCTCCGCTACACGGCACAACTCCACATTCAGTATTCCTGAGCACACCGCCCTAGCAGGAAGTATACCATAAATCTGTTGTTGGTAAACCTGGGTTCCAGGTCCTTCTTGGTTTTAGATGTTTCCCGCAGTGAAGAAAACAAATTGGGAAACCCAGGTGCCAAGTTCTAACATTGTATGCTCAATATATATATGATATTTCTATTCAACTTTACCTTCTCTTTCCTAGAGCCTCCATTGGTCAGAGTATATCACAAAGAAACCTTGCCAGGGATTACAACCCTTTTCTGCAGAGCTCATGGCTTTTACCCCCCAGAAATTTCCATGATCTGGATGAAAAACGGAGAAGAAATGATCCAGGAAATGGATTTGGGAGACATTCTTCCCAGTGGGGATGGGACCTATCAGACATGGATATCCTTGGAGCTGGATCCTCAGAGCAGTGACCTTTACTCCTGTCACGTGGAGCACTGTGACGTCCACATGGTTTTTCAGGTCCCTCAGGGTAAGGACAGGGTGTGCTTTCAGGGTGTGAGACAGGAAGGGGGGAGAGCAGCAAGCCTGGGTCACTGCGTGCATTGGAATGGGTCCTTTAAATCAAAGGTCTCACCTGTTGGTCTCAGGGCAGGATTGCTGAATGCTCTTAAAAATGACTGAGGATCCCAAAGAGCTTCATTTATGTAGATCATCTATATCGCTATTTACTATATTAAAAAGTTTTTCAATTTAAACTCCCGAGAACACAAGCACGTATTTCATTCATTTTCAGAGCAAAGGTGGCGTCCCGTGTGATACAGCCTCTGGAAAGCCCCATTGCACAGGCGAGAGAAAAGGCAAATCACGATGTGGGCCTCTTGCGCTCCCTGCAAGGGTCTTGAAGCCCCCTGGGGCATTCAGACCCCCGAGAACTCCTGTACCCCTGTTTTAGATTATTTCCCTGAACGGAGCTGTGACGTGGGAAGCGAGAGTAAGGGAAATGGTGTTGGGCTTCCTGATGGTCACAGGGACAGAAGTGCCCAAGAGTTAGTACAGAAGGGGAGGAAGGCTTGTAGACTTTCCTCATGTGCTTGCTTTCAGATTCGGGAACTATCCTTCTGGTGGTAAAAGCTGTCTCTGGGTCCATTGTCCTTGCCATTGCCCTGGCTGGAGTTGGCTTCCTGGCTGGCAGAAGAAGGCCCCGAGGTGAGAGGCACGTGGAAGGGGCCATGGGGGTTGCGATGGTCACTCGTACAGCTCCACAAGCTTTATTTTCTGCACCTGCCATTCTACTGTCCATTTAGGAATTAGTTGGGCCCCACTCTGTGACCACAGCAGGACCTGGAACCCCTCTTCCACCACATGGGTAACACACACGTAGATAACGCCCGCGAAGAGAGTGGTTTGGTACGTAGGTGATGCTGATGTCAACAGAGGAGGACTTCCGTCCCCATGAACTGTTCTCCTAGAAGGTGTGGCAGAGAAGATACAATGATCTTGATTTGTCTTTTTCTAAACTATATCCTTATCATTATTTACTATTAACTTTTTGTTTTGTCCTTTGTTTCGAGACATCAGTGAGTTTTCTCATTTTGACCAACATTTTCTGACCCAATTATATGAAAGTCCTTTTCCTTCTAAATTCATCTTTTAGCCCAGCTGGTGTGGCTCAGTAGATTGAGCATCGCCCTGTGGACTGAGAGGTCCCAGTTTGATTCCTGGTCAGGGCACATGCCTGGGTTGTGGCCTCAATCCCCAGTAGGGTTGTGCAGGAGGCAGCCGATTGATGTTTCTTTCTCACATTGATGTTTCTATTTCTCTCTCCCTTCTCTCTCTAAAAAATCAATAAAAACATATTTTTTAAAAATAAATAAATTCCTCTTTCAACACACGAAATGTTGAAGAGTAGATAGATACCTTTGGAAAATGGGACTCAGGGGAAAGAAAAGGGGAAAGAGAAATGGGAGGGATATAGGCTCTTGATGCCTTGGGGAGACCTTTCATTCACTCCGTATATATGTATTAAATACCTGCTATGTTCCAGGCACTGTACTGGATGCTGGGATGTAGCAATGCAAAAGACAGAAATGATCTCTGCTGTCTTGTAAGGTCATCTCCCTCCTTCCCCCGCATCCCCCGGCTTCAGTAGATGCTCAAGTTGATCACAGCATAATATTGATGAGACCCGATTTATGGGTTTGAACCCAGTGTGGGCCAGGAGTTTGGTGTTGTTCATAACCACAAACTTCAACCCCAATTCAAGTGATATGGTAAAAAGCATGTTATAAGTTTTTTTTTTTCTCTTTATTGATTTTAGAGAAGAAGGGAGAGGGAGAGAGCAATAGAAACATTGATGAGACAGAACATTGATTGGCCACCTCCTGCATGCCCCTCACTGGGGATCGGGCCCACAACTGGGGCCTGTGCCCTGACTGGGAATCGAACCAGCGACCTCTTGGTGCATGGGTCGACGCTCAACCACTGAGCCACACCAGCTGGAGGGGAAAAAAAAAGCATGTTATTATATCAATGTATAAACTATCCCATTACTAGAAAATCAACTCAGAGAGTAGTGGGTCATTCTGATGTTTTCTTTACAAAGTACTGCACTAATCCCAATTCAATAAATGAGAGTTACTGAAGCAAAAAAAATATATATATATATATACATATATATATATATATATATATATTTTTTTTACAATGACACACCTGTCTCAAGAATGACACACTGTGAATTCTTGCTTTTTATCTTGTGGAATTAGTGAATTTGAGTTAAAATGTGTCGAATACTAAGAGAATCTTGACAAAGCAGGCTAAAAATGTCAATGCCAGCTTCTCAGATTTTGCTTACCATTGCATAATTTTTTTGAGCTATAAGGGAAAATGCACGTATCTGACTAAAAAGTCTTTCTTTCAGAGAAAAATGAAGTCATCTACCTTCCTGCACCAGCTCAATGATTGAGGATAGCTGTTCCAGTTGTCTTTCCCCTGGGAACCATGGTCACCTCTGTCCCCTGTGGACTCAAGTCCGGTACACCCACAACAGGCATGGATATTACAGGATTGAGCTTTTACGCCGGAAGGATGGGAGCCACAACGTTTTCTTTGTTCTTTGGCTCCAAAAAGACTGTCAGCTTTCAAGCTCTTTTGATGGACTCATTTATCACATTTGGATCTAAATATAGCTTGTCACATGACACAGCACTACCCTATATCCCATCTGTCAACGATGATTTACAAGTAAATTAGAGAATCTCAGAGCTGGAAGGAACCTTCCATGAGAGGGCCGGATATGTCTTCTCCAGCGCCTTTGACTTGAGCATTCAGCCTCCACTTGAATAGCATCAGTGAAGGGCACCTCACTACGTCATAAAGTGGCCTTTTTCTTCCCTCATGAGAATGTATCATGCAAGAGCTTTGATCATGGGTGCTATGACTGTGACCCTAGAGACAACGTTGGACCACCCTGGAAAAGCAGCCAGTGAGTTTCTCTGATGGGCTGTGAATCGCCAGATCGTTTTACGTATTTCCCTGCCTGAGAGAAAGCCAGTGTCCATTTTTATGGCATCTCTGCCTGGTAGCTTGGAATCTTGGAACTATGCCTGGTCGGATCTGAGGAAGTGATCTCATTCTTTCTGTCTTCTGTGGGAGAGTAAGAGCAATAATTTTCAGACACATGATCACCTTCAGTGGAACTACAAATACCTAGATACAAGTGTACTATTTTAATATAAAAGTGATACTCCCTGGCTGGTTTGGCTCAATGGTTAGAGCCAGGGCCCGCAGACCAAAGAGTCTCAGGTTCAATTCCGGTCAATGGCATGTACCTCAGTTGCAGTTCATCCCCAGCCCTGGTCAGGGTCGTGCAGGAGGCAACTAGTTGATGTGTCCCTCTCACATCAATGTTTCTCTCTCTCCCTCCCTCCCTCCCACTCTATCTGGAGATAAATAGAAAAATGTCCTTGGGTGAGGAGTATATGTATATGATGTATATGTATATGTATATGTATATGTATATGTATATGTATATGTATATGTATATGTATATAATATAAAAGTGATAGTATGTGTATCAGAATAGGGTTCAATTCTAACTTCTGTCCTTCCTCTACTGGCTTATTGTGGATGGGCCACACTCACCTTTATACATATGCTTGTTCTCCACACTTATTCCCCATCCACTGAGAGTAAATAAAAGCCCCACTGTGAGAATTAACACTCCCTTGATCCACCTTACTGTACCCCTAAAATCTTTTCTATCGTTTACCTCTTGTTCGCCTGTCATCTTTGATTCTCAGTAAGAAGGTCATATTCTGCCAGAAGGGAGATGCTGATGTTTTTCAGTCAGTTAAATGAGTTCAGACCCCAGGACCCTGGACTCTCCTGGACATAAAGTTTCTAGAAACACTCAGGCCATGGGGAGCCGTAATGTGGCTGGAGGGGAACTCACCAGTGTTTCCACTGCGGTCTCCTTCCCCAGCAAGTGTTCTTCTAGCTTCCCCACTGTGGGCTTGGCTGAGTGAAAAGAGCACCAAATATGGCCACTTGCAGGAGTAAGTGAAGATAAACACCATGTATGCCAGCAAATGTATCTTTGTTGTAAATCTTCTTTTACATTTATTCCATCTCTGGCCTGTGAACCATCTGAGGTTATGAGCAGAGCCACAGCTAACCCATATGGGACATTTGTTCAGATTGGAGAACTTTTCCTTCCTTTGGGTGGACACAGACCCAGGCTGGGTGACATGGCTTAGTCAGTAAAACATGACATGGCAGCTCTGGTCATACCATTAGAAAATAGATGGATATTGGTTGTAGATTAAGATGAATGAATTAACTTGGAAGGGAGGGGTGGTAGTGGAAAAAACAGGTCAGTTTATCCAAAACAGTAGAACTGGACACCCTGTTTGTATATCAAAGAGCTAAAATTATCTGAAAGGTTTTGCATAATCCTATCATGGAGTTTATTTATGGCCATCTATTTTTAAATTTTTGTCATATTACACAGTCTGTTTCACAATGCCTTGTATGTATGTAGTAGGAACCCAGTAAATACTTCTTGAATGAACCAGTACAGTATTTTAATTAGCTAGTCCTCATGTACTGGTGAAAAAGAACAGTGTCATCTTACAACTGAAATCATAGAGGGGAAATGTCTCACTCAGGATCATATGACATTCCAGAGCTCAGGATGAATGCCCCAAGGACCAGTCTGAATTCTTCAAAGGTTTCTACAGCATTAACATTATTTAATAACTTTATCTTGTTATTGCCTTGTCTGTGAAATTAGGATCCCAAACATTCTAACCACACTGCTTCTCCCCACACATTAGGGATAAGGACAGAATTCAGAGGTTCATACAACCACCATTTTTCTTAAAGGTCTATGAGAAGGTCTAAAGGTGCTAAGAAATGAATTCTCAGTCATCCTGGGGGCCCTAAATTTGATACCTAATAGCTATCTTTTTATTCTTGAGACCCTTAGAGCTGTTATATAATCTGGATTTTTTCCCCCCTCTATTATCATTTGGGTCTTTATTTTATTAAAGTTCTTGAAATACTAATTTCATCAGTTCTTATCAATGACCTTGGGAGTATGTGAAACCCTCTAAGGAGGATGGATCATTGTGCTTTTCCCTCCCCCTTCTTCCCTGAGTTCAGCCCTCAGGCAGGAGCAGCTGCATTTGTCCCTTGGCAGGGTTTGGTGTGCGAGTGTTTGGAAGCAGAAGGTTCTGAGCCGAGCCGGCTGCAGCTGGACAGTGGGAGCTGAGGGACCTGGTAGAAGGCCGGGCTGGCCTGCAGCCCTGGTAGCGGAGGCTGGGTCAGAGGCAAGTGCATGGCAGCAGCCAGACCTCGGAAGAAGCAAACCAGGGCCAGAGAGTGGGAACAATTGAGAAGAAAAACACCTTCTGAGAAAACAACTTCTCGAATGGAAAATAAATTCAGGGAACAAGAGGCTGCAGACCAAAATGGGAAGAAGCCACCAGAATGGAAAAGGAAGTGAAACCAAGGATGAAATGAGGCAGTCGACCTCAGGCCGAAGCTGCCTTGGCTTGTTTTCCTTTTGGAGGAAATCAGTGTGGATTTCAGGTGAATCTATGACCTGAACTGAGTAAAAGCTCTTTCTTTCTAAGCAACACGACAGTCGCATGAATAGAGAATTCTGGGAACACATCGAGAAGACACAAACTCTAAAAGGTGATGATTCTGGGGCTACTTGGAGGGCTGGAAATAATAAAAAGTAAAACATTTTGAGTCTCATCAGCTGCTGAGTACAAGCCCTTGGATGTGCTTGAAGTGATCTAAAAGCCATTACTCACGAAACGCTACAAATATGGGCCTTACACACAACAGGAAGTTGCAAACCAGATGGAACCCCTGAGGCCAAGAGCTTGGGCTGCCCTCTACTTTACTCTTTAAACACTGAATTAGTCATCGATCCCTGCGGATCCAGGAGGGTTGAAGATGGGAGGCAAGCTGCTCTAACCTAACGTGGGCCTTTGCAATAGAAATTAAGATCAAATCTCAAAGATTCGTGAATTTGCCCAGCTTCACTGACTGGAAACCAGTTTACATGGTAACGTGTTTACAGGCACAGTGATGACATTTTCAAGGATTGTTCCCTGCCACAAGAAATCAGTAGTTCTCTGTGTGTCACTGTATACACTATATTTTCATGAATGCCTCAGAGTTTATTTAAGAATTTTCTGCCACGAATATTGATATTCAAATTAGATTCTTGTAACCTTTGTTAGTTAATCAGCCATTCATCGAATCCAATGTATGTTCCATGAGGCCTGAGACTCCAGTGCCTGGCACATAGGAGTTACTCAATGCATATGCATATTGGCAAAATGAATTTCAGTAGTACCTACTGTGGGCCAACCTAGAGGCAACAGAGCCCAATAGAAATGTTTTGAAACTTACCAAGTGCAGAAATGGCCCAGACATTTGCTTATAAGCAAATCAAGCTTACATCATAGAAAATGACTTTCAGAAAGGTAATCTAGAACACATTTCTATAAAATAGACCTGGGTTTTGTGTTATAGAAGAATTACCACTCTGACAGTGACCTTTTGTGGTAATGCTGAAAAACACAGCTTTGCTGATAAAACTTCAGAGTGGAAGGGGAGGCCTGCATATCAATATTCCATTAATGGGAGAGGAGGGAGGGGGGGACTGGGAAGCCTGAGCGCTGCCTCCGTCCCTGCAGCAGCTGGGCGGGGCTTCCAGGACAAGCAAGCAGTTGTGATGGTGACATCCGGGCACTCAAGGATATTCAGTGAGATAGAGCGGGTTCTAATCCTCTATTTCCTTTTGCTTTCCCCAACTGGCCAATCCTCAGAATTAACTCCCTCTCTAAGTTGGTAAATGCTTTTTGGCTCTGTTGTTCAACTGGCACGTGGCCACTCTGTGTTGGTTTTTATCTGTTGCTGCCCGGCTTATCTCTCTGGCTAGACTATAAACCCCTTAAGGACACAGTTTGAATTCCATCTCCTTCACTCAGTATCAGGGTGATCTTACGTTATTTAACTTCTCAGCCTCAGTTTTATAAAAACAGGTTTGTAACTACCTCTCTCCCAGCATCAGTTGATGTAGAAATTGAATGAGGGGTGTGTGTGTGTGTGTGTGTGTGTGTGTGTGTGTAGGCACATTGCACAAGGGGTGGCACATGCCTTGTCTCTTTTCCTCTAGGTTTTCTTCAGGGACACATTCCCTATGTCACACAACCATAGCCACCATTTATTGAGTGCTTACTATGAACTGGGCACATATGTTATGTCTATTCCTCATAACACTTTTTTGCCAGCAGGTATTATCATCTGCATTTTGCTGAAGTTCAGCAAGTTATGTTTTTTGACAAGGTCACAGTTAATACGTGCAGAGGTATGATTCAAACCCAAGTCCTTCTCCATCTATAGCTAGTGCTCTTTCCAGGACACCACCCTATCTGCACACAGTAGGCACTCAGCTGATGCTTGATGAAAATTGTAAGGTATCACCTCCTCAGATCTATGCTCCATAGTGAACCTTGGGAGGAAAGGAATAAAAACTTTACAATGAATCAGAAAATCAATAAAGTTCCTTATAAATTCATGAAAGTCTGAGTCTTTTTGCTCAGCCTTTGACGATGTGACTTAAATGCTGAGTAAGGCCTGGAGGGCCAGATGAAGCCCATAGGGAGTTGTCACACATTTCATGGGAATGTCAATGAAGGCCATGGATAAGATTTATTACTTGTCAATTCTTGGCAGATGGGAACAGCTGATGCCCAAAGGGAAAATGAAAGCTCTTCGCCTTGCAAACAAACGCACCCAGGGGGGATGCAGTGCTTAGAGCTGGAGGCTTGTTTAGGGGTCACGTAGTTAAATTTTCTCATTTTACAGATGAAAAAAAAATCGAGGCTTGGAGAGAGTGAAATTATTTGCCAAAAGAAACTCTGAAACCAATTATAGACTTCATGTCTTTACAAAAATATGTTCCACATCACTAGTCATTAGGAAAATGCCAATTAAGACCACAGTGAGGGATCACTGCACACCTGTAAGAACAGCTAAAATAAAAAGGAGGGACAACATTAAACTCTGACGAGGACGCGGAGAAACTGGATCACTTATCCACTGTTGGTGGGAACAGAGAATAGTAACGGCATTCTGGAAGATTTCTGGCTATTTCTTTAAAAACTAAACACATGCTTACCTAGCAATTACACTTCTGGCTGTCGACCCCAGAGAAGTGAAAAGTTATGTCCCCATTAAAATCGGTGCACAGTTCTTTGTGATAGTCCCAAACTGGAATCAACCAA